GTTAAACATAAGACTATTGATAAGCATGATAGTGATTTTTCTTTAACAAATTGGTTTATCCCGTTGTTTTACTAAAATTGTAATAATTTACTAATTAAATAGTCTATTACTTCAATTAAACAATGCACTTGAATGTAATCAGGGAAAATCAATATTTTTTCTTTACAATAAAAACGGATTTATGATCTTGGGTAAACTATAAGATACAGATCTCTAATGATGGATTAACGTTGTTACACAAGATAACTGAAATGCTTAACGTTTTGAGTGATACCGCAAGTCGATTTTTAATAAAAAGTTTACGATTACTAATAAACATTTTAAAACGTTCATAGTATTCAACTAAAAATAGGTACAATAAGTAGAATATTGATTGACAGTCGTTTTCAAGTTATTCGTGCTTTAGAAATAGGGATTAAATATTAAAATGTAAATTTGGCACTTTCAAGCGTATACGATAACATTGTATACCGGAGAGTTCCTAGCAATATAAGTATCATTTTATTTGCAATAATATACTTTAAAATATGTTATTAGATGAATTACAATGTTGAAATATTTTTGGAAAATATTAACAATACACATGTGTTTTAAAACAATTTCCTAAACATCATAAATTTAATAATTATTATTATTCATAAGTACAAACATTATGGTAAGAAATGACTTGTAAAACAATGTCAATTAAAACTGTTCTAAAGATAAGTAAAAGGATAAGAAGGGCAAAAAATATTCCTTTTAAAATTAACCGTTTATGTCAAATAAATGAACTTTTAAATGTTTTTTATTGACTCTTTTACTTTTTTTTAACAAGTTCATAAGCAGTTAAACTATACATATTGCATTCTATTAATCATTTTAATCCACATTAATTGTTGTAGTTTAAATAAAAAATGTAAATTTAGGCTTGGTAACGTTTTTAGCCTATGGGTAAAATTCAAGTGTAAATCTGTAATTGTTTTAAGAACTTTAGTTATGAAGTTAAATACTATAATTAACAACACTGTATATTTATGATTTTTAAATGGCAAAAATAGCTATATTAAACTCAAACGATATTAAGATTTGAATAACAGCTGTAGTTATGTGGACCATATGCCACAGAAATTTATTATGTAAATAATATGGAAAATATCTGTCGATCGCCGACAGATACAATATTTTTATTACTAAAAGTTAGACCTTCGACAACTACTGTAATATAATGTATATGTTTTTCGGAAAGAGTGGCAGTGATAAAAACAAGTAGAGCCTTCTAGTCAATGTTTTAGAAAAAACTTTAGTAAAACTATGGTTAAGTAAAGTAAAAAAATAATAAAAGCTAAGTAATAAAATGATCTTCACCGCCAAAAATTATAAACTTTTCAGTAGTAGTGTATAATAATTAATATGAAGGTTATTTATTCAAATTGTATTACTAAACAGAATTTTGTTATAGTAACCCACGCAGCCAGTATAAATGCATTAATTTTTTTAATAATTTATTTTATAATTATCGAGATAACGTTTAAAATATCATAATGTGATGTAAAACTATTTTAACAGAAAATAAAATCGATAAATTCTTAAGTAGAGTATTTTCAATTTATTTATTCATTAAAATACAGTTAATAATTACAAATTAATTATTTATAGTTTATATTCTGAAACAAATATTATTTATATAATATTTCTCACTAAATCCTCAAAAAAATATTAATCAGAAAATATTGTTGTATACAATTAAATTATGGATTTTGTTTTATTTCTGAGGATACATGTTTTGTTTATCGTTATAAATAGTTGAACCTTTGACTTGTGAGTTGAGCTGAGCAGAAATCGTTCTGTAGAATATCATAGTCTAAACCGGTATCGAAAGGATGCGTGTGCCACGCGATGCATCTATATATTACACTTGAATATGTCGAGTAACAAAATGAAAAAAGTTTTTCGATACAAGGCCGTATGTTTGTGATTCAAACATTGCGACAAAAAATCTAAATTGCAAAAAGTTTTCTTCAGTATATTAACCGATTTAGTCTTTGACGTTTGATCGACAGTAAAGCGGATTTTAGATTGCATTTTATTTGCTGACGGGCTTAACGCAATAAAACGTACCTATCATACGGTTAACAGGTCCGAATGACCATAAACAATACAAATCAAGATCTATTGACCTATTGAGCAAATAATAGAAAAACAATTATAATATTATCACAACAATACAACCTAAAAAACTAACGCGTACAGATTCATTTGTGTTGTTTTTATTTTTAATTCGCTATAATAATTAGTTCTGATGTACAAATTGTATTTATAATTTTATTGAAATTGTAATTTAGACTATAAGTTGCAATTTGCTTAAAATGTTTGCGGGTGACATTGGTATTAAATGTCTAAACACAAAATTGCTTATAAATATGGTACCTAATATAACACGTTAATGTAGAACATATATGTTAATAGTAATATTGACGTCTGCGTTTTAATATTAGTAGATTTTTTTACACTGGAATAATATCAACTGACTCGTGTTTACTCGGTTAACTGTAAAGTAATTATTATTTCCACATGTTCACAAGTGTAAGAATTCTATGCGCCGTCGAATAAGTAAAGCTTGAATGGAAACTTGTCGAACCGAAGTTAGACGCTTTACTCGCTGCGTCCGTATTATTTAATAATAACACCGAAAGTATTTTTGAAGTATTTTTGATTAAAAGGCTACACTATTAAACATTGTTATCGACTAACAATAAATTAATACTAATTATAGGGGTAATCGAAATTTGCTAGTTGCAGTCCAAGGCGAGGCTGTGAGATTAAAAAATTTCAAATTCAAGTTGAATGTTTTTAATTATTAAATGTTTATGTAGGTGTTACAAAATTTTATAATGTATAAATATTGTCGGTTTTTTTTTTTAAACAAATCGCATTTGTCCATTTGTTTTACAATTATTATCTTCACTTGACCGTTTCATAATTTATTATATTAGGTAAGCCCGATCACATTTTTCGGTTACGTACATGGGCACACCACCCTTTAAACAAGATTGAATGAAATATATAAGGTAACACTAAAAATTCATTTTACATAATTTTAATAAATCGCCTGTAATTGTTTGTATTATTTTTTTCTAGTGAAAGACATGTAATGCCAATTCTTTCATCGTTTTATTTAACTTTACAAAAAGAGTCATTTCAATGACAAATGGTATTGAATATTATAGAGTATGGTATTGATATTATACAATATTAAATAATATTGTTATTGAAAGATAATAAATATAATTGCAAATATTTAGACTAAATTATTAGTGTCTAAGTTATCCAATAACCCGTTTCATTGTTTACTGATTTATTTACTTTTATTAATGTTACGCTGTATAAAAACGTTATTGCCATTCTACGTCGCCAACGTTAACTATCCATTGCGAAGATGTAAAGAACAAAATAAAAATAATTGTTATTTTTATGTATCGTACGTAATGCTGTATTTAGTATCAAAGTTTTAAAATCGTTTTTATTGTGCGCTATTTACAAGTAATAACCATCAACCGTAATTTGAATGTTGTTAAATATATACTTCCCTTAAAAATAATCACCAACCTAAGAGTATCCCGGAGATAATGAGTTGAGTGAATCAAACGTCGTGAGTCCACAAGGACTTCATGGTAATATTATCACTAACAAAGTACAGAAAATAAAAAATTACTATGCGGGTTTCTCTATTTTCTTGAATATTGAAAAAATACCCAACTGTAAAAAAAAAGTAACATTATAGAAATATAATGTAGTTGAGAAGCTATGGTGGGGTCTATATATTATTATAATGTCATCGGCCTCTGAAATTCGTTTTAAAAATGTAATATCAAATTCATGAAACTTTGAAAAGTGCGATTTTATTTTAAAGGTAAGATAAAAAAACACTTTTATTCAAATACATTTTATAAAAGTTTTACGATTACAATATTATATGTTTATGTCTTATACCTTTAATGATAGCTGAAAATTAGGAATATTTAAATTTGTTATTATTTTTACTCAAACTCATCACAGTTTTTACAAATATAGCTTGTGTTTGTGAAATACATTGGTGCTGGTAGCGTCGAAATATGCATTATAGCTGTTTACCCCGATTAACGCGTTAGATTAGGTTGAAATTGGTTCAAAGATTAATAAAGTTCATTAAAATAAACGAATAAATATTTTAATTATAATACAAACTTATAATACCTCTTGTATATCTATATTATTAAATAGCTAAAATGATTTCATTAAATTAATCATTCTAATTCTTTTCAGTTTATTAAAAAATATACATGGTTATCGAGAACTAACACAACTTCATCTCCTGATCGTTGCTAAAAAAAGATAATTTACTTAAACAACACTAAATTTTTAAGTTTCTTATTGAAAAAAATACGTTTTTGAAGACAGCATCAAATTTGAGTTGTGAGTAAAAGCCGTTTTGTTTATTATCATACACAACGGTTATTACTTTGCCTCGCTAAGACTTACACAATAATATAATTACATATTATAATTCATTTTTTCTGGAGATGAATTGAACAGAACAACACTTGCTCACTACTTATGGACTTCCATAACAAAGTTAAATCCAACAAACGCTTTTGTTAAAGCAGTTTTTTTTACTATTATTACATTTCGGTTGTTATAAATATACACGTTTATTAAAGATTTAATATATTATATTTAAACAATTGTCACATTCAAAATTATTTTTTAAAGAACTGTTTAAAGTGTTATTATTTTATGCAACTTGTCATAAAGTAAAATGAAAATGTTGAAAACCAATTAAGTTGTACCTATCCTAATATGTACGTTTTTTTCATATATCTATCAATTAGCGTGCCAAAAATGGAATCGTTATAATATAAGAATTGTTTGAAATGTCATCCTGAAGTGTTTGCATAACAGACACACAATAACTATATTATTTGACTATAAACATTTAAGTCCTAAGACGTATTTTTAATAACAATATTTTTTTATGATTCTAGATTGGTAGTCTCGATCAATTTTTCCTTTTTGAACATGCACATGTTCATAAGCGATCAATAAATGCAGATGAAAAGTATCACTCAAAGCTAAAATCGGATCCCCAGGTAATAAACAAATTATTAGAAACCTAATAAGTATTTTGATAATGTTGTGGAAATAAAAAAAAATGTATCGTTATTTGTCAGTAATTATAAGAGGGTTGTACAAATTACGGTTTAATGATTATGAAAAAACATTACTTTTTAAAGTATCCACATTATAATATAAATTGAACACTTTAACTTAAGTTTAATTAAATATTTACATATGTAATAAAATGATATTATTGCAAAACAAAAATTGATTTCATAGCCATTATTGTTCTATTGTTATAGTTGTATATAAATGTACATCAGAGTTGTTTTAAATATAATTGTTTTTAGTAGAATTGGCAAATTTAAAAATCTGGTTGATGAGTTCTGATGAATAAACTGATATGATAGCATCATCACGGTATAGTGTACCTTAGTTGAATATAATTGCTATATTTTATGGAATATTAGTTTAAAATATTGTTATCCAATGCAATATTATATTTACACAATTTTCAATTTGTAGTGATTTAGTTTTCTTTTAAAGCTCCAGATACAATTTGATTTGTTTAAAACGGGCCGTTCTCTCTTTTTGGACCTATCTTATATTTTAAGTACAAATGGTACATTAATTTTAGTAAGCTATAATAAATTTAAAAAAATTCAATTTTAGTATTCAACTTTATCACTCGGATATTTTTATTATTAAAATTAATGTTGTTTTATAATGTCATACTACATAATATACAAAAGGATGAAATGATATTTCACTACTCCTAAGAATTAAGATGGATTACCTAGTAGTAATAGCTTACAATGCAGGAAATAACAGCTATCTGGCTGAGCTATGACTTTACTATCGTACCGATTTCAGTTTTGGCTACAAGTATATGTGTATTCTATATCCAAAAACTTTATAGTTCAATCATAATAGTTATGTATTACTTAAATTAGTATTTTGTTTTTCAAAAGAAATTATATTTTAAGCAATAGTCGAGCATAAAAGAATTCAAACTTTTTGATAAAATAAAAACTATTTAAATGTATATAATATATATATATATATATATATATATATAAATTAAATATCGGAGAAGGAGAAGAAAAGGAAACGCAACATTTACGAGATTCAATACACTTGTTTTAATACTGCTGCCCGTCAAGGCGTGAAAATAATGACATTATAATTCCATTTCTTAAATTCTGCCAGGACATCCGGAAAGGGCTCCCGAAGTGGTTGTTTTTGTGTGCACATAAGTCCGCGACAACGGGGGATGAACAAGATTGATGACGGTGTTTTAGAGAAATGAAGGGAAAAACCACCAAGCTTTTGTTTGCCGTCCGGTAACAACATACAAACTAATGTAATTGGATGATCCCGGAATTCACAGAGAATACAGCTGTAGAATTTAATTTAAATATTAACACGAGGGGTGAAGTCGAGTGGCGGCACACAAACGGTCAGAGGAGGTTTGTGGAAAAACTAAAAAGAAAACGCCGCATAATTTTGTTATTAAGACGAACGAACACACTGGACGTCTGCGCATCTGGCTAAATATGCCTCTATTCCATGATTATGTTTGTACAGCGATTTTTTTTTTTTTGTTCACTCTACATTTTTCAACTCGTAGTTATGTGGGCGTTGATAATAATCGTTTATAACATAACACTAGCGTAGTAAAAAGTACGATACACATTTATATTATAATATAAATACAAAATATTGTATTTTTTTTTTAAAATAATCTTTATTTTGATAGTATGTGTTATTTTTATGTTATTGAATAAAATAAGAACGCTAAAAATAGTTTATTCTAGAGTATAGGTGTTATGCAAATTTTATGTAAAACAAATATTGATCTATTCACAAAAAAGATTTAGTGTACAACTTCATTACTAAAAGCCATTTTAAAAGTAAAACAAAGATGATTACTATACATTTTATATTTTGTGTTTTATCACTAGATACAATATATCATTCAACATTTATAGACTCATTTGCACTATTTGCTGTACCTCTTCTTATTACGGCCCAGGGTAATGCGTTTACATGTAGAAAATTACAATTGAAAAAGCATATAAAATGAAATTCGGGTAAATACAATATTATACAAATTTGACAAGCAGTCACTGCATGATATAATTATTTTTTCCGTTTGACGACTTTTCTATAGTCTTTTTTGTGTATACTCTCTCGAGTCAAAATGTAGATTAAATTTGCTATATGAGGATAAAAAAAATGTAGGAATGATATTTCCAAAACAACTATCTTGTATCTTAAACTTATGTTTTACAAATTTTAATTTTGTTGCTTAAAACCTGCAAAGGAAAGTGTAATGGAATAAATTATCAATTTAACTACTCGTAAAATCATAAAACTGGATCAAATTCCACGAATGGAAAAAATCATTTTTTCCCCAAAAAACTGTACATTAACCAACTCAACAAATAAATAAAATGCTTATAATTCACTTAAAAATGTTCTTACTTTACTGTTATTTTCACAATTATGTCTAAACACAATGGTTTTGTTGAACTTTGTACTTGTATTATTGTAATTGTAAACGAAACGCGACGCTAAACTGTTGTATAAAGTATTTTATAGGATTACATCGTATGTTTAATATTATATTATGCTACCAGACGTTTTGTGTGTTGAAAAAATGGTTTGTCAGGTTACTTTGTTGTCAAGCGTAGAACTGACTGGCCTAATAGAATGCCGGTTGTATCCATGGCATTACATTTAGCTAGTATAGTGAACTTTCCGATTCTTTCCCCTATGTAAACGATTCGACACTGAAGCGAGGTTCTGTTTGTAGGACCGGCGGGGAAGTTGTAATTTATCTTATGTCAGAACATCTAACATTTATTGACACGCCATTTAAAATAGTGCTGTCGGGTTGTCCTTTGTTTTTTCACTTCCATATAAACAGATGCAGAATTCGATGGTTTTTTTTCTGTCGAAAAAACGCCAAGCACCTCTTTCTTTTTCTATATAAACGCTGTATGCCTTAAATCTGTTTACGTCAGCGTTTATACACAATATGAGCATTGGTCGACGCGACGAGGCTGACTTGTGTTTAGCTAGTTCTGCAGTTGCCAACACATACTATATTAGTTTTATTCCATGTTTTAACAAAGTTCTTACAGGATACCGCCTGATATATAACATACTGTTGTTTTGATATATATATCTGTTAGTACAATTTTAGTTTGCTAAACTGCAAAAATCAATCAACATAAAAGTAATTGTTAGCTGCCTGTATTATACACATAATAATGAATATTTATACCTGACGATTCTTTTAACGCCCTACAGCAGTTTTCTTTCAAAATTATTGCAATTTTGTTTCTTTTTGAAAACATTTTAATTTATGTTATAGTACAATATAAGACAGTATTTAAATTGTTACCTTATTAAATTTTTTTAAGCGCTTTATCAATTTTTAAGACTTAAAACAGTAACATATTTTATATAATTGAATTTTTAAATTAAGAATAATTTAAATAATTTTGATGGGAGGTGGAGTTTGGTTGAGAAATGCGAAAATATAAAAAAAAACTCTACACTCCACTCCTCCTCCCGTCTTAAATTTTAAACTTTAAGAACTTTAAGACTATTTATTCAAAACTGAGTATCGACTAGTGAAAATATTCAGCAAATTATTCTTCATTTAACTAACGAATTAAATGTATACATTACGATTTAAGTTTCAAAAGTTATCCTCCACCCTTTAAGATATTATTGTTCGATAAAAATTTAAAACTATTACTTTAGTCAACATTTTTGTAGTATATCATCAAAAAATCGAAATTACATAAATTTTAAAAACCCTGTATATACCACATTATCTGTCAGTGTTTTATATTATTATGTCAGTCACGTTCTAATAGTTAAGTATACATATTATATTGGTATACGCAGTATGATGGTAATAATAGTAATGTAGTCTTGTTAACATATATATAATCAAAAAACTACTATTATAAAAAAACTAAGATTCTAAGATTGTATGATTATATAAGGAAACTATAATTTTCCGTAACTATATTTTTATTATAAAAATATTATTTTCCCCGTAAATACGTCTCATTTATTTGAAAAATTAGCTTTTTATTACGTATGGCGTTACGCATGGTTGAAATAAAATGTTGCCAGCTTATAACATATTGCTTTTTAGTATTATAACCACCCGGTTCCAAAAAAAAAAAAAAAAAAGGAAGAAGAGAAATATTAACCAACGTCACGGATTCCCTAGATCCTCAAGACAATTTATGTAACTCTAGTGACTGTATCGTAAAAAAACTTATACAAAAAATATCATGGTAAACTATAAATTTAAATTTATGATGATAATTTGGGGTCGAAATCCCACAAGAGCATGTCCGGAACTTTTATACAACATATAATATACCAATAGTAGGCACACACACACACACCACAAACATATTATATTCATGTGTGAGTGCGTACGCGTGATTATATGGTATGGGTCTATAAATATGATATTTAAAAAAGACCCAGACCCCACTTAATAAAATGCTTTTCAACAAGAAAAACATATTATTTTAGACTGTCTAGAAAGATTTTTTTTACATCGTGATTAAGATTTATAATATTAAATTCAACCTTCAGAGTTTATTTTCAGATTAAATAGTATATCCATAAAAATATTTAATTAAACGAAATCTTTTAAAACAAATTTAGAAAAAAATACTTTTATTGAGTCCTCAATTATCAAGAACCAAGTAACTAAACTAATGCCAATATATTATCTTCTTTGATATTATGCTTGTAGTGTTTGATGTTGGATCATAAGATATTTCTTAACTATTGTAATAACTAATATTGTCTTTAGACGTAAAATAAAAAAGATTTATAATATAAATAATATGCTTATATTATATTGGCTGGTATTTAAAGAAATATGAGTGTAGTGCAAATTATATAGACGGGTATTAGTAAAAAAAATGTACCAATCCGATTACCGGAATTAAAAATATCCAACAGTTAATGTTATATTAGTATATAC